GCACTATGGGCATAATCTCTGCTGTTATCTGAGAAATTATTTCTGATTTCATTTTTTCCAGATCCTCTTTTGTTGGCAGTTCAGGGAGTCCAGGTGGTTGAATATCAGATTGTTCCATCTCGTTTCCCTTTGGGGTTGCTTTAGGCGATCTGGAAGTCTGGTTTTGAGACTTTTTTACGTGTCTTATCATTTCAGGGGGGTCGGGGATGCTGCTGTCACTAGTGCAGCTCACCTCCTCAGCACTGGGTGGGGGGGCTCTGCTCCTTGGCACTCTGGGGCAGTGGTATGGCAGCCCGAGAGGCTTACGTCCTCAGTACTGGGGCAGAGGGGGCTCTGCTCCTTGGCACTTTGGGGCCAGTGGTACAGAGGTCTCAAAAGCAGTTTTTAAAAAATTTTGTATTGCATATCCTATGTGATAATTGTGGTATCAAATTAATATGGTATATTCAAATTCTTATTTTATCAGGTTGGTTGTTTGTAATAAGCCTTTTACTTTGATATTTTGCTTATGAATATTGGTAACTCGTGGTCATAAGTTTTAGTAATATTTAACTTCAGTGTTTGTAGAACACTAGCAAAGTATATGCATCTTCCAAATGTCAAACTAGTAGAAGCTTGTTTCTGAGTTCTTTTGTCAGCTCTGAGAATGATACCTCCATGCACACATGGGAAGTGTGGCAGGCGTGGTACAAGCTGACACTGGACTTCACATGTGCAGTGCTCTCATTCTGTCCTCACTAGTTTTTACTATAGTTCTTGTTGTATTAGTGATTAGTTATTCCATCTCCTGTAGGGAAAGCTAGGAAAACCTTGTGGAGCCTACTGCACTGGCACACTCCTGTAATCCCAGCTACCTGGGAGGCTGAAGCACACTGAGTTTGAGGCCAGGGTGAGCAACTTAGCTACAACCCGCCTTGAAAAAAGAAAAACTTTGTGGAGGATAAAATTGACTTTGGAATCTAACCTTTTTTAAAAATTTTAAAATGATACTTTAGAAAATTAATTTAAACATTTAAAAATAATTTTTCATGAAATCATTTTCATGTTCTGTTCAATTAGGTCAGTGTTTTAATAAGCCTCTGAAGCCATGATTATGATGGCTGTAGATTTTAATTATAATTGAATTTATTGTGTTTGAAATGGTTAGCACTAGGTAGAAAAGAAAGGGTAGAACTTGTAGCTTGGTATAAGGCCTTCAAAGAATTTAGCAGTTCTAGAATTAATTGTAGATGTGTTCTAAACTAGATATTATTACTTATTAAATGCTAATTACCTGACAGTAAAAAGACCAAGAAACACAGAACTAACTGTTCATTGGCTTGATACTACCTTTACTTGGCAGTATAGAAATTTGAAGACCTTTAATTTTTTTTTTTTTTTTGGACCGGGGATTAAATTGAAGATCCTGCACTTGCCAGGCAGGCGGTGGAACCACTGAGCTAAATCCCTGGCGAAGACCTTTAGTTTTTAACACACATTGTCTTTTCAAGGTTTATTGTGATTATCATGGCCATTCCCGAAAGAAGAATGTGTTTATGTATGGCTGCAGTATCAAAGAGACAGTGTGGCATACCAATGACAATGCAACTTCAAGTGATGTTGTGGAAGACATGGGATACAGGGTAACTATTACAGATGGCTCCTGAGCTTCTGAAATTGGAACATATGACACTATAAAATATAATTTAACATTTATGAAAGTTCAATAAATGTTGACATTTTGCCATTTTTGTTTCAGATTTTTAATTGTAAGGTTTTGCTTTTAATGTTTAGATTTTTGATGTATTTGGAATTTATTTTTATATGAGATATGGAGATATAATCTTATTTTGCCTCAGGTTACCAATTGTCCCAGCACCATTTACTAGACATTACTCCCTTTCTCTGTGGATTTATTTATATTCCGTGTTTATTCATTGTATGCATATATTATGAACCTGTCAGTCATTATCATCGTCATTGTTCCTATCTCTTTGCATACATATCATTTTAATTGTGGTAAGTTTATAATTAGTATTGCTATCTGGTAGGCTAAATTTTCCTTTCTTACTCTTAAAATATTTTCTTGACTCTTTTTTGTCTGTTCTTTGTGAATTCTAGAATCAGTTTGGGGGATACACTCTGAATGTGGATCAGAGTAGCACTGACCCTAGATTATGTTGGAGAGAATTATTAGGATAATGTATAGCATTGCTACCTATGAAATGCACATCACCCATCTTACGCAGTTTAGCATTTTTCATTCTTAAAGACATAAAATTTCTCTGCATAAGTATGATTATTTTTTTAGATTTAGTCCCAGATATTTTTGAATGTTGTTGTAGTTGGGAATGAGATCTACCCCTCCCCCCATCTTCCTGCCCTAGTTGATCTTTGATGATGCATAGGAAAATCATTACCTTTTCTCAAGAGAAATTTCTCTTAGGTTTCAAATCCTCATGCAAAGGATTACATATCATAATAGCATCACATTTCTCAGCAAGCAGCAACACTGGAAACAAAAACTTAGTGAAGTGATCCTTCACAGTTCTTAGCTAGATTTCCAACCTATCAGTTTTTTATATTTCATCCTATCAGGAAGTATGAAAACAAAAAAAGGTCTTCTCAGACATTGAAAGTCTCAAAAATTTGCCTTATAAATAACATTTTTCTTGAAGCTACTTGCCAGAAACAAGGAGTATTCTGAAAAGGAAGAAGATATAAGGAAATTAAATCCAAGAAAGAGAGAAACCTCATAATAAAGATGAAGGGAGAGTCCTAGAGTATATGTAAAATGCCCAATATGTCAGCCTTCAACAAATGTTACTGTCACTACCTTTGGAGAGTTTAAGCCTTATTAGGTTAGGCTACATTAAATGAATTAGATGAGCAAAGAACAGGGATATGAAGAGAAATATTCATTTAGACCCAGATAACAGGTATGAAAGCGATATTAGTGAGAGGCCCAGAGGACTGGACAGAGCTAGACAGAAAACACTCAGAACCTTGCAGTGCTGTTCTCTGGATTGCCACCATCACCACCTTTATCATATTTCACATATCATATCATTTTGAGAGAATTCTTCATCTCTTGGAAAGAAATCATATTACATATTCATAAAATTATATCTCCATAAAATTTAAGGGTCATATTTTAAATTTTTTATATGTTATTTGATTAATGTATTTTCCTTATACTGAATAATAACCTCCCTGAACCTACCAAATGTATCTCATCTGTTAGTTACTCTGAATAGTTACTATGTAGCATGGTGCCTTATTCACTGTGACCACTCAATAAAGATGTTAGATGGGTTAATGGGAGAATGCCAGGCAGACATGTGGGAAGATAAATACAAGACATACTCCGTTGTAAGAGAGCAATTAAATATCTTTGACCTCAGTTTTCTCAGTATTAATTGTCTTAAGTTTCTTTATTTGATTAAATGTATGGATTTCGTTGTGAAAGGAAACATAAAATAGTGCTGTGGATTAGACAAAACAAGTAATTCACTTTCACCTCAAAATACATTTCTCGAGATGTTGGCTGATACTTCAAACTGCCCCTTAAATGGTTTCATGCCATCTATGTCTCATAATTACATTAGTCACAGTTAGACTCTGATTCTTTAGGACTCCTCAGACTCCTCACCTCCTAGTGAACATCTTACATTTTCAGAGTTGTTGGGTGGTGGAGGGAGGGAAGGAAGCATTTCCCACAATTTGATGATCATATGCATTTGTTCCTTTTGCTGCTGTAAAAACCAGCACAAATACTGTAAGGGGGCTTAAAGCAGCATAAATTAATCAACTTAAAGTTCTGTACATCTCAAGTCTGGTGCAGGTTTCACTGTATTTGTTGGCTATCTGTGCTGCCTCTGAGAAATGTCTGTTCATTTTGGTTGCCCATTTTTTTTTTTTGGTACTGGGAATCAAACTCGGGTCCTTGAGTTTGCACAGCAGGTGACGAAACCACTGAACTAAATTCCCGGCCCACGGTTACCCATTTTTGATTGAGTGTTTTATTTCAGGGGTTCTAATTTTTTTGAGTTCTTTATGTATTCTAGATGGTAATTCTTTGTCCAAGGAATGAATAGCTGGCAAAAATGTTTTCCCATTCTGTAGGTTGTTTCTTCACTGTGTTGATTTTCTTTGCTGTGCAGAAGCTTTTTAATTTGATATGATCCCATCTGTTGATTTTCAGTATTATTTCTTGTGCCATTGGGCTCTGTTCAGAAAGTCCTTGCCTATGCCTATGTTATTCATATAGCTTTTGTATGAGGTTTGTTTTTGTTTGTTTTTGCCTCACTGTTCTGTGATATAGGCAGTTATTGTCATTGCTAGTGTACAAATGAGTGAACTAAAAACTTCTGGGTGATTTAATATGCTTGAGGCCTTCACCTACTTAGGTGCCTAGGATGGAAGTGACATGTTTATACTTCAAACCTTCTGTGCTTTCCACTCGATCAGTGTCTGTCCTGCTATGGTGACACCTAAACAAGCACTCCAGCTTGTTTCCCAAAATGCCTTTCTTTGACAGAACCATGGCTCTTAGCAGAACTTGAGAGAATTTCTTTTTTGGTGTCCTCTTTCTTCTTTCTCCTTCCAAAATAAAAAAAAAAAATGATTAGACTGGTATAAAAAAATGGGAGTGCTCTAGAAATATATAAAGTAGTAAGTGAAAGTCACCTCAGTTATTCTCAACACTAGTCAGTTTTACTGTGTATTTTATGAGATCTGCCTCTGAGCTCATATATATTCCTCTATAAATGTTTACATGTATAGCATGCAGTCTTTGTCTATTTTTGTTTTCTTTTAATACAACACACAGTGACTTGTTTTGGCATATACTAATATTTGTTGGCCATTTGTTTAGATCATCATATCTGGATCTCAGTCTTTTTAACAATCACACAAGACTTCCATTGTGCATTTCGTTTTTATTGTACCACTGTACAAATAAAATTTAATTGTATCAAATTCATTTGTTCAGTAGTCCCTTGTTAGTAGTTATTTATTTAGTCCTGCCAAGTTGTCCTTTGTAAAGATTATATAAATTGATACTCTCAAATACTGTACTCTGAATGATAGTTCACATCATTATATATTCTACCCACTTTGTCACATCAAAATAATATCTGATTATTGCAGTTTACATAACTATAATAAATTACATTGAGTATATTTTCATATTTTGCAATTATGATCTCTTTTAAAATAGCCTTTTCTCATTTCTTAGCATTTCTACTAGCTATCTAGCTATTATTTTTAAAACAACTCTAGATGTATTATAAGTGTTTTCTAATTTATTTGTGCTATGTAGTAATTTAAAACTTAGCATTTGGTGACTTATTTGTAATGGCTTCTGGATTTAATGAGGAGAGACTTCAGACTCTTATTTAAGAGCTCTCCACTTGTGCCAATCCATATTTAATGAATGATGAGTCTTTTCTTCAATAACTCTAATACTTTTGATTCTATTCTTGTTTTCACTCTAGAGTTGCTCCTCCAGCTATGTTACAATTTATCTTTCTTTAGCTAGATGACCTAGATTGGATCATTTCTCTAGTCATAGCCTTTTTTTTCTTTTTGAGAATTTTCCAGGATGTACTCCTATATTTGCATTTCCAGGTGAACTTGAGAATAATTTAAGTTGCAAAATTTGGGGGTTGCTTTGATTGTGATTCTCTTGGATTCATTAATTTAGGGATGGTTGATATTTACAGTGTTAAATCTCCCAGTCTTTCATGGCTAAATTTTCTTCATATTTTAAACATGTTTTTCTTCATATTTTAAGTCAAGGTTTTCTTAAATGACTGTATTGTGCTTATCGGTTGTTGTTATCTTTCTTTCCCTTGTGTTTCCTAACTGGTTACTATTTGTTTAGAAGGGCAAGAAAATTCTAAATTAGTAAGAGGATTGTTTGGGTGCTTGAGTAGTATGAGTTACAGCAAGAAGAGCCACATCATCCCATACAGTACTTTCATCAGTAATTTTAAATTAAAATAACCTCTTGGTTTATTTTATAATTTTTATTTTTACAGACTTTGCCGAAAATACTGAGCCATATTGCTCCAGCATTTTGTATGAGCAGCTGTAGCTTTGTAGTAGAAAAATCTAAAGAGTCCACAGCACGGGTTGTGGTTTGGCGGGAAATAGGAGTGCAGAGAAGTTATACCATGGAGAGCACCCTGTGTGGCTGTGATCAAGGGAAGTACAAGGTATAACGTTACAGTTACTTCTAGGCTTAAAAGTAAACAGGACTTTTCTCTCATTTACACTCATGATTTTCAATTATAAATTACATGTACATCTATTTTTTTAAATTAAATGAAATTGCAATAATAGAATTGAATGTATTCTGTCTTAAAAACTGGTTTCTGATGGGGTTTTGTTTGTTTTGTTTTTTGCATACCCGTACTTATAGCAGCACAATCTCTAATAGGTAAATCTTGGAAGCTGCCCATGTGTTTATCAGCAGATGAATGGATAAGGAAAATGTGGGTGTTTGCATACAATAGAGTACTGCTCTAAGCAAAGAAGGTTAAACTTGAGCCATTTATTGGAAAATTGATACACTTGAGACCATAAGGTTAGGTGAAGTAAATCAAACACACAAGTATAAAAGAGAAACCTAAAGTACAAATAAAGAGCAAAATGAAAGGCAGGTAACAGGAAATAGGGAGCTCGGTCTTTTGCACCTAGGACAGGGACTAAGAGATAGAGGTGGGGAGGGCAGGGCTGGGGGACAACAAAGAATCAGACTGTGTTCTGTGCCAGTCCCAGCTCCCAGGTGGAAAACGGTCACTGTCCACTGCAAACATGGACTAGCAGAAAATGAAAACTGGAGAGAAAGAGCTTGCTTAGGGTCCTTAGGGAGTGCTTGGTCGTTTGAGCTATTGACCTTCCTAAGTTCTAAGAGAGGACATTGGAGCACACATCTAGACACTGATTAGTAATTTATAGGGTGCTATACAAGTAGGAAACTATTAATGGAAATTCTCTATCATTTTAATTGATGAGATGTCAGGATAGTTTTATGCATTTGAAGTTAAATACATTATACTTATGAAGCAACTAATCTGTTACAGTTTTGTGTGTGTGATTTTTAAATTCATATACCTTCACTAAATTTTTTTCTGTACTAAGTTTTTTAGTGTCATAGGTTTTTGTTAAAACAACCCTATTTTACTTTTGAGATTAAGGACTATCGAGTGCTAGATAGTTCAGGATTTTTTAAATTTTAAAGATAAAAGACTTACTGTACAATGAATTGGACCTTACAAGGTAATAAGCAAACATGAATATTTATCTTTCTTGCCTTGGCACACAAAGATTTTCAGACGTTATGCTAACAGAAATAGATTTCACTTTTTGTTTTCTTTTAGTTTTTTGTTGTAGGAAAATAGGATACTGAATCCCATAGAGATTTTTATGTACCTTTCCTGAAGATGGTTTTAACTTTGTGGCATTAAAAATCTAATTGGTTAGCTTTAAAAGTGCAAACATAAAATAGTTAATGTCAAAAGTTTAGGAGAACCTAAGTAATGATTTTTCATTATGCAACAGACTAGAGGAAAATTTCATTAATTTGCAGTCGATATGTACACTTTTGGGGCTTACTAACGGATAATTTGCTGGAGTTCCAGTACTTCCCTGATGTTTTCATTGATCACAGTGTATCTTCTTCCAAATTGTAATATGAAATCTTTCCTGATGTCATGCTAGTACCGGTGGTGAGACAAAGGCAGTGCCAGCCCCACTGCAGCAGCCCTGTACCTCATCAGCGTATCAGTGGGCAGCTTTTGTGAGGCTCTCACAGGCCTTGTGTGCAAGGGAACAGAACCGAGGGTCACTGTTGCATAAGAATGTACGTGACGTAGGAGAACCTTGGACGGCATGATTTGTGGACACAGACTGTGAGTTGCTTCATGGAGAGGTGGTTCATGCAGCAGCAGCATCTGTGAAAGCAGCCTGTGGGAAGGAGGTGCTGGAGTCAGAGCTGCTGAAACACAGACACCTCTTGAGATCATTTAGTATTATTAGTGCTTTCTTTTATATTCGTGTTCCACTGATAAGACTTTCAAAAATATTTTTATATTCTGATAAATTTGTTGGCCACTGAAAAAACAGAAGAAGAAATACATTTTGAAACAAAATATTAAGGCAGTTTTATAAAAAGTTTTCTTTTTAATATGTAACTGTATAAACTTACATATGTACCTAATAAATACTCATTTTTCTTTCTGTGATTTAGTTAAGAGAGTGTACATTGATTTAAAACTGTGAGAAGGCTGGAGGTGTAGCTCAGCGGGAGAGCACTTGTCTTGAAGGCACACAGCCCTGAATTGGGTACTACCAAAGGGGTGAAAAGCCAAAACTTAACCAAAGAAAACAAATCCATGAAAGAGTAGTGTTTTTAACTAAGCAAATTTTTTTCATATTCAAATTATTAGGGTTTTAAAAATAAATTTTAGGTTCACAATAAATTGAGTAGAAAGTATAGAGAATTTCCATATATTCCTTGTCTCCTCTGTGTACATTTTAAACTTGTTAGCTAATAAGGTATATAACTACCAGTATTTTAGAAAGCAGTTTTCTTCACACTTAACATTTTTATGTTACTAATTTTAGCCTATAAATACTCTTATTTTCTTTTACCTAATTTAGAAACAGATATAGAAAACTTCTAAATTAAGAGGCCAAATGAGTGTTCTACTAGTCAGGTCATATTTCCTAGAATATTTGGAAAATGGCCAAAGTCTAAGCCAAAAAAATTTAAAATTAAAACTAGTTGTTGTAAAGCCATGTACTTCATACAGAGTAGCAGTTTTTATAATTCGTTTTCTTTAGTTACCATGTGCTGTAGGAACTCATTTAGCCTGAAAAGCTGCTTTATAGTACTTCCTCTTTAATTATATCTGCTTTTATCTGCAACTACAGCTTTTTGGTGTAAGGATTTTGTTCATTTTAGAAAAGCAGTATCTTTTTTTTGGTACTGGGCCTCAAACTCAGGTCCTTGCGCTTGCGAGGCAAGCGACGGAACCACTGAGCTAAATCTCCAGCCCGAAAAGCAGTATCTTAACAGATCATCTTTAAGTTTTTATGTGGTAACATTTAGCTTTTGATAAATTCTGTATTGCTTATTGGCAAACTGTTGGTTTAGAAAGGGTAGGAGATTGAGGCACAATTTTTTTGCTTTAACAGAATTTAAAATAGGCATTCTTCTTTTAAATTTGTATTTCATTAGTCCATGTTTGCAGTACATCATGAATGCAGTCATTGTGGAGAGTTGGTACGTGTCTCGGTTCTTTTTACACCCCTTTCCCCTTCCTTCTCTTCGTCTCTTAGCCTCTTTCTCATTTGAAATAGGCATTCTGAATTGACACGGAACATAGAAAATTACTTGACTAATAATGCCTTAGATACTAATATTTTAGATGTGTTTAATTTTTTTTTGACAGTTACTTTTTTATTGACTTATACAGTGCAAGTATCTATAAGGTACTGTTCAAACATACATATTGAATCTTTGATTGAACTGTAGTATTTCAACACTGGCCAGCAAAATATTGGATTTCAAGAAATACTAGCAGGGCTTTGTGAAAATATGGTTTCATTCATGAACTGGAAGAGAAACAGGAATCATAAAATGTTCATCTATTTTTCTCTTCCCAGTTTGTTGGTAAAAATAATTTGCCTGAATAAAATAGACATTTTAGAAATAGCCTATTAGGACAGTCGTTTTCCTTTATGACCTAGAATAATTGAATTCATATTGGTGAGACATATAACAGTATATATCCTATTTACTTGCCAACTTTTAAATGTTATTAAGATATAATTTTAATGAGATACAGCTAGAGAAAGGCAAACTTTCTGATTTCTAATTACATGTGTAAAATTACTTTATTTTTAGGGGTTACAGATTGGTACTCGAGAATTAGAAGAGATGGGAGCCAAATTTTGTGTTGGTCTATTGCGTTTGAAAAGACTGACATCCTCTTTGGAGTATAACCTGCCCTCCAGTCTGCTTGACTTTGAAAATGACTTAATTGAATCAGACTGCAAAGTAACTAGGTAATATACACTTGTTTTATTCATCTGTTAAGTTGTAATATACTACTGGACTTCAGTACAATAGTTAAGTATAGGAAAAACAGGGAGATTTCAATAACACTATGTTTAGAATTAATGTAATTAATTTTCCATATCTACTATTTGTTCCAAATTGTGATAGTATTCATGACTTTTAATGTTGATATTTAAATGAGATGTCAATAAAATATCCTTATATTTGTTTTTAGTGACTTTAATGGTTTACTTTTAAGTTAAGTA